AGATGAGGACCTAATGTCGGGGGTTTAAGTGGAGAGAAAATGTTTTGAGAAACGATGTACAAATGCGCTTTACACAATTGATGTGTGTGTGGATTGCGATAACAGTTGTATGAGCCCCTAATAAAATGTTTAAAAACAAACAAACTAATTGTTCTTAGATTAAGGTTTAGGATTAAGTGCAATCTCAAAATCCATTCATATATCTACAGTTTATATATGTTGCTGGTCTGCTTAAGAGATATTATTTTATTGAGGAATATTATAAATAATTCCTATAGGGTATGTGGTAATTATATCGATAGCATTGTTAATTTAGCCAGTGATTTTTAAATACTGTTGGAAAAAGGAAAATACATGTTTATAGAATAACTTTTTAGACAAAAATACATGGATTGTTGACTTGTACAGATTTAAAACCTAAGTGACTGGACTCTAATTACACACACAAAAAATGGGATTGCACTTCTTTAAAAATGATGCCATTTAAATATACCAACACAAGGCCTACATTAGAGTTAAATCAAGTTCTGATATAGGCTTGATGTCATTTTCTTATGACCCATTATGATGTAAATTTTGAAGACCTACATGTCATTTTATTATGAACCCATTATGATGAATTTAATTAGACCTGAAATCTCCTATTTCTGCAAAATTTGTATTAAATATGTATTAAGTGTCTATGGTAAACTCTAGGTCTACAATCAATGAACAAATTAAGAATAACCATGGGATGCATAGAAAAGCAATGATTATATTTAGTAATAAAATAACTATATGCAAAATTATGCATAGCAATGGAATTTCTGGCCTGTTATCATTTGTTTAGCTTTCAAAGAACAAACTCAGGACCCAAAATGCCTGGGTCTGGGTTCCAGCATCTCTTCTTCTTCTTACCTCTGTGGCAGTGAGACTCTCAGGCTCAACTATTTCCTTTGAAATACAGAGATAGTCTCCAAGCTGCTCCGTGGGAGAAAGATGAGGCTTTCTACTCCCATAAAGAGTTACAGTCTCAGAAACCCACGCAGGCAGTTCTACCCTGTCTAATGTATGTGTTAGAATCAACCTGATGGCAATGGGCGAGGGAGGGAGGGACTTAGTTAAGAGTTAGAATTGACTGTACAATAATGAACAGCAATTTTTGCTCATCTATTTAAGACTACTGAATAAGTTGCTACATGTAAACTATTAAAACATTGAATAAGGTCAACATCTAATAATTTTTATTATTCTTATAATAAGCTATTATTCTCATTTACAGAGAGTGGGGCCAAATTGAGAAAGAACACAGCTATATATCATAAAGCTGTATCTCTTCTATTCTGCTCATGCAGCAAAATATAGGACAAGTAAGAAAATATGGATGAAAACATTCCCTAGGTCAAAAGAACATCTCTACTGTGCTATGCCACAACCATCATTTATTTAAAGACTTTCTACTTCTTGCCTCCAAATTTCCCAGCTCCCTCCAGCTGATGTAGCATAGCAATATGAGTTGGATGAACCAGAGCAGTGTATTGAACTTCTTCCTCCTGGGCTTCTCTGTCAGGCCAGAGCAGCAGGGCATGTTCTTCACCCTGTTCCTGGGCATGTACCTCACCACAGTGCTTGGGAACATGCTCATCATCCTGCTCATCAGACTGGACTCTCGCCTCCACACCCCCATGTACTTCTTCCTCAGCCAGTTGGCCTTTACTGATATCACTTTCTCATCTGTTACTGTCCCGACGATGTTAATGAACATGCAGACCCAGCACCTGTCCATCTCTTATGAGGGGTGCGTTGCACAGACATATTTTTTCATACTCTTTGCTGACTTGGACAGTTTCCTTATCACTTCAATGGCCTATGATAGGTATGTGGCTATCTGTCACCCTCTCCATTATACCAGCATCATGAGTCAGAGCCTTTGTGCCATGCTAGTGGTTGGGTCCTGGGCGATTGCTTGTGTTTGTGCTCTTTTGCATACCCTCCTCCTGGCCCGGCTGTCTTTCTGTGCTGATGACACCATCCCTCACTTCTTCTGCGACCTTGCTGCCTTGCTAAAATTGTCCTGTTCAGATACATCCATCAACCAATTGACCATCTTTACTGCAGGATTGGCAGCCATCATGCTGCCATTCCTATGCATTCTGGTTTCCTATGGCCATATTGGTGCCACGATCCTTCGGGTTCCCTCGACCAAGGGCATCTGCAAAGCCTTATCCACGTGTGGGTCCCACCTCTCGGTGGTCACTCTCTATTATGGGGCAATCATTGGTCTCTATTTTCTTCCCTCATCCAGCAGCACCCATGACAAGAACATGATTGCTTCAGTGATGTACACAGTGGTCACCCCTATGTTAAACCCCTTCATTTATAGCCTAAGAAACAAGGACATGAAAGGAGCTTTGAGAAAACTCTTGAGAAAGAAAGCACATTCCTGAGAAAGAAAACATTCCAAATGATATTTAGCTTTCTTTGAAGATAGCCATATGGTCTTATTTCCTTACTCATATTTAAATAAAGATACTCAGGATATAGCTCCCTTGTCTTTCTTCCCATTGTTGTTGCTCAGAACTGCTTTGTTAACATTACCCTTTAGAGATAATAGGAACATGGGGCATGCCTTATGGGACTTTATTTACTCTTATCTCATATTATGAAATGGTGAAACATTTTGAGGATATTGTCCCACTGCTGTTTGTGGTCAACTGCTACCCTAAAAGGCTAGCAGTTTGAACCCACACAGCAGATCCACAGAAGGGCTTGGGGAACTGCTTCCATATAAGTTACAGCCAATAAAACCCTATAGAACAGCTCTGTTGTCTAACCGATGTGGTCACCTGAGTCAGAATTGACTCGATAATGGGAATTTTGTTTGGATTAGTATCATTAAATAGAAATTGTCATGCCTGCTCCTTCTCCAAATTTTAAATTCGTTGTAAAATGGGTATAGCCTTCCATACCCTCCATCTCTAAAGATTTAAAACATTTTGTGATAGCATGATCCCTCCTTTACCCAGGCACCCATGCATCCAGGGACTCTGAATCCTTGTAGAACTCTCAGGGAGAACATATTAAAATTTACTTCTTTCATAATCATTAACACACTGCTTTCTTGTCCTTCAGGAATGCAGTCCACATCTCCTTTCTCCCCAGCCACAGACAAATATTTCATGACCCAATTAAATCTCAGTGATCTCAGGCACTGAGAACTCAATATGCATTAAAATCATGGAGCAATTTAGTCCTGGACACAACCTTACTATGTGAGTTGGGAAAACAGAGACAAAGAAGGTAGGCATACCCTAAGGGCACATAGATAGTGAAAGGAAGATTTAAACTTCAGCTGTCTGATTCAGCCTAGAATGTTCAAGGGCGGTTGATACAGAGCACTGTGTAATTTTGGTGATGTGTCGAGCTGCTGACTGCAAGATCAGCAGTTTGAACCCCCCAGCCACTTTGGGGGAGAAAAAATGAGGCATTCTACTCCAATAGAGATTTACAGTTTCTGAAACCCACGGCGTTGTGCTGTGGGGTTGCTGTCAGTTGACACTGACTACATGGCAGTGAGTTCAAAGTTTGGTGTCAGTTATAAGAAATGATTAGCACAACATAGTGGTAGAGGACACGGAAATTTCCCCATAGAACATTACATTACCTGCGTTTTCACAAATCATAACTGTCTAGACACAAAGTTTTTTTTTTTTCTTGTTGCCCCCAGGTTGGCTTCACCTTTTTTCGGGCGGTTAATTTGGAGTTTTTCTTTGGGGACCCACCTTTTTTTGGCCGGCGGTTCCCCCGTTTGGTGTAAAATACAAAATGTAGATATGTATAGACCATGTCCGATCATCCATTTCTTAACTCTTGAAGCTTTCGGCCTAGATTTGGATGTAAAAAAGAGTTGAAAGCTAAAGATAAGTGAGTGTATTGTGAAGAGGTTTCTTTTGAAGAGTGCTGTGCATGAGTTCACGTCTGCCCAACAGGGAAGGGGAGTGCTTTCCTGCTCACTTCAAACTTAGGGGAGAACTTTCAGCAAGACCGTTTATAGAGTTTGAGATATATAGATATAGATGTAAATATAGATATAGATCTACTTTTATGATTTTTGGGGTGGTGGTGCAAATAGTTTTCATCCAACTAAACTAAAAGTCTGTTTCAAACCTATCTACAGTGTCATTTTCATTGGTTGTTTGTTTCTTTTTAAATAGCTTCTCTAGATTCCACTAACCTAAGAATAGGTCGAGCTACTTTTTTGTATGCTGTTGGTTTTGTAAAAACATTTTATTGTGATTTTGCTTAAAGTTTAAAGAGAAAATTGGTTTTCCATTCATCAATTCATGCACATTTTGTTTTGTGACATTGATTGCAATCGCCACAACGTAACAACACTCTCGTATTCCTCCTTGTATTTCCCATTTCCAGTCTTCCGATCCTTTCCTGACTTCTGACCTTTATTCATGGGTAAATGCTGCCCTTTCCATTTCATATCATTGGCTGTTCTAAGGAATGCATGCCTTCCTGTTAATTTTGTTTACTTTATAGGCCTATTGTTTGGCTGGTAATTGAGCCAAAGGGTTGAATTCAATTCCAGACTTGAAAGGGTCATGATCTTGGGGGTTCCACAGTAAGCTTGATTTTTTTTGTGGTTTTCAGGTTTGTTACACATTGTCCTCCCACACTATCCAGGAGGTTATAATGGGATCCCTTTTTCCGAGCAGTTGGCAGTGGTAGCGAGGCACCATCTAGTTGTTCTGGACTCAGAGTCATGGAGACTGAGGTTTGCATGGCCTATTAGTTCATTGGACAGATGGTTTCCGTGTGTCTTCAATTTTTTTCGCTCTCATTTCCTCTGGCCAGAGCCACACCAATAATTACAAGATAACCACCTGCAAGCTTTTATGACATCAGTCACTACTCACTAAAATAAGATGCAGAACATTTTATTGGTGGACTCTATTGGGCCAATTGATCTCAATGGCTCCGTAGGCTGTGATCCTTTGTCTTCAGACATAGGGACTCATTCCCTGTGCATTAGGTTATGGCTAAGTAGTTTTCATAACCTTGACTCTTGAATGGATCTATATGCAGCACAGACAAACACACATATAGAAGTCCTCTATGTCAAACCCATGTACGTACTCATGGGTGTAGTCCCAACCACCTTCCCATGCTTGTTGAGCTTGTGAATCTAGCTATGTATCCACTTGTTCATGATTACTGTTCTATTATTGCAGAATTGTGTGTATTTACCTTTTTCTTTTTTTTCATTCTCAAAACATTTGCTCTCTACTTAAGCCCCCGGCATCAGGTCCTCATTCTTTCCCCTCCCTCCCCCGTCCCCTCCCTTATGAGCCCTT